TGTTGATTTTGTCTTTTCTACTTTTTTAAAATGTGTATATTTATTGCTATAAATTTTCCTTTGAGCACTGCTTTTACTTTGTCCCCAAGGATTTGGCATTCTGTGCTTTCATTCTCATTTGACTTGACAAACTTTTACATTTTATTTTGAATTTCTCCTCTTAGCTAGTAATTTTTAAGCAAGGTCATGTTTAGTTTTTAATCTCTTTGATATTTTTCCTTATCTTCTCTGTTGTTAATTTCTAGTTTTGCAGTGCTGTGGTCAGAGAAAATGCTTTGTATTTTTTTGAGTTTTTTTATATAGGGAGGCTTACTTTGTGGCCTGAAATAGGGACTAGTCTGTAGCATGAGCTCTGTGCACTGGGAAGAATGTGTCCTGCATTGCTTCTGGGTAAGACTACTTATAGTGTAAAACAACTATGTGTGCTGCCCAGCAACAATAGCTGTTGAATACTGTGCTGATTCTGATATCATATGGCCAATAGCCAATTCAAAGAAACCTCCATTATGAGTTTTACCCACCTTTGCAGACAAAGCTTATATATATATATATATAGTCGTCGTTATGTGCCGTCGAGTATATATATATATATATATAGAGAGAGAGAGAGAGAGGGAGAGAGAGAGAGCTAGAGAGCATTATATAGATAGAGATAGAGACAGAGGCAGAGGCAGAGGCAGAGGCAGAGACAGAGATAGAGATAGAGATAGATATAGACATAGATATAGACATAGACATAGATATAGATAGAAAGAGAGAGAGCACATTATATATATAGAGAGAGCATTATATATGTATATAGAGCATTATATATAGAGCATTTTATATATATATGTTGTTGTTGTTACTGTTATTATGTGCCATCGAGTCGCTTGCGACTCATAGCAACCCTATGTACAACAGCCCTAAACTCTGCTCTGTCCGCTGCCAATCGCACTGTCTCTGACACACTCATCCCAATTACCCCAATCACTGAATTAATCCACCTCATAGGTGGCCTTCCCCTTCTGCGCTGTCCCTCTACCCTACTGAGCATGATGTCTCTTTCCAAGGACCGGTCCCTCCTTGCAACATGTCCAAATTATGTTAGACAAAGCCTCAGAATCCTTGCCTCCATAGAGCCACCTGGTTTAACCCTTTCCAGGATGAATCTGTTTTCCTAGCAGTCCATGGTACCCTCAATACTCTTCTCCAGCACCACAGCTCAAAGGCATCAATTCTCCTTCTATCCTCCTT